GCAGGCTGGCTGGGGAATTCTGGGAGGAAGTCCAAACATCTTAAAGTTGCCGAGGTTGGAAAACATTGGCTTAATGGAATCTGTGTAATAAATGTGATTTTGATGGGAAGTTTCTGTTGAGCCTTGAATTACAAGGTTTGGTGAACTGTTTCCATTTGTCACAATAAAACTGTTCTGCATTCTAGCTTGACTTAGATTATTCCCATATTGTGCTGATCCATGGAAGTGGAAGAAGTTAAGGATTTGGCTGTTTGAGCTAACTTGCTTTCCTATCTTGTCTTTCTCTTGCTCCCCACCTCCCACCTTCCCTGCTCCACCTTCCTGCCCTTTTTTTTTAAGGCCGTTATCCGAGTTTTTCTTAATCCGAGACACCAGCCTCATCCCCAATATCTTATGGTTCGAATACACAGTGAGCAGAGCAGAAGCCAGGTGAGGAATTGTTAGCCCTGTGAGGTAGTCATTGTAAGGTTACATTAACAGAACCATGCAAGACTAAAATCCCTTTTCTTCTCCTCTTTTACTCTCTGGAAAACTAGGAGGGTCCCTTCTGAGATGCTTCCCACACCCCTTTTTCTTCTGTGGGCTGAGACACCTTTTCCACACGGTTATCTGGTCTCTGGCTCTCCCTCCTGTCTCCTAAGGTTGTTCCTGCAGATGATTAAGGAACAGACGTAGAGGCCTCACCCTGTGCCCTGTCAAGATCTGACAGGCTTGGTGTGTTCCGAGTTCCATCCGTAGAACAGTATCATTTTGTGGGACCCAGAGTGTGTGCCTTCTCTGTCATCGTACCTGCCCTCTGGAACAGCATCCCCCTCACCAAGATCTGGGTGGCCCTGACACCTGGTCTTTAGGATGGCCTTGAAGATCTGGTTCTTCCCACAGGCACTGGGCCAGGATGCTGGGTGCACCCATCTAAAAATGTGTCTTTGGAGTTTGTTTGCCCTTGGTGTGTTTTTTATGGAAGCACACTTTTTGTGAAGTTTATTTAGAAGAATGTATATGGCCGCCCTTCTTAATTACATAACTCTGGATGAACGTTCTCTCCCTCTCTCTATATATACATGTAAACCCCTTAACCAAACATATAGTTAAAGCAGTGTTTCTCAACCTTGGCCACTTGAAGATGTGTGGACTTCAAAACTC